ACGCTCAACCCTTCTGAGTGCCTGATAACGAGGAGCCGCAGGTTTGAGTCGTGCGACTCATCAGCGTCACGTCTGTGGCTTCGCTTTTAAGCACATGTATGCAGACCATCACTTCCAACCGATGTGTGTATCTGAATGGTATCAAAATCTGCCTAAATTTGAAGGTCACTTTGATGTCGACCAATCCTGACTGTTATTTAAAAAAAACGGGATTGTCGGAGATCAAAGTGGGTCTCAGATTTATTTATTAGACCCATTTTAAATTAAGTTACACGTGGAGAAACGTTCTGCGTAAGATGCAAACGTCAGGAGATATGGTGGTACACAGGAAATGCCCTCGGATCTCGAATAATTTTATTACAGGATCGTAATAAGTACCGAACCACGAATTTTGACCTGATTCATCAAAATTTGTCGTCTCTGCTGACTTGATTCGGAAGTTTTAGTTTTATGTATCCCGGAACTGGTACTCATTTACTGATTCTCAAAAAATGAACAGGCTCCGAAGCTAAGTCTCCCCGCACATTTAGTCCACCTCTCTTGTCAAGTTTGACAACGGCCACATAACCTAAATCTTGTGACATTCAGCGTGCTAAACTGAATGTGAGATAGACCATTTACAGACCTGATGCATTCATGAATGAACAGAAAACAGAGAAGTTACTCTGCGCTTCTTTGTCAATATGTTGCGCATCAAGCATCAATTTTTCATGATTTGAGTTAGAGTCCAAAATTTCATACGTTTACCACGTTTCCTAATTGACAGTAATTCGCTCACTTGCAGTCATCAGCCAGCGCTCCCTTCACTTCCTCGTCTTTTGAACCGACTTGTTATACATACAGAAGTGATTGGGCTGTTAGCCCACAAAGCACGTAGTGAAATGAACGAAAAACAAGTTTTGTATGCTGAGGTTTGAAGGCTGTCTTCGGGCTGGCTGGTTAGATGGCATTAATCAAATGGCTTTTTAAACCGCTCTGCGACAGTATCCAGACGGTTGGGTTCCACCATCATTCACCAAGTTTACTCCGTAGACAAGAAACGGCATATTGGCGAAAGGCAAAGGTGCAAATCAGAGTTAGTTCCCCTCAGTTAGACACCAAAGGGCTAAGAAACTATTAACACAATGGATTGGTGACTGAAACGAAGCAAATTCACAACATTGCATGAAAATTCTACCCGTACAAATAACAACAGTCTTTTGAAAAGGAGCTTAATCTCGGTTTCTATTTTTTAAAATTGATTGTCTGAGTTAAAAACACCAAAATCACCATTCCGTAAGATAGTGATGTCGGAACATTGTCAAGTTTCGTCACATATTGCATAGATAACAGTACTATTCGATTCAGATGATCTATTGTCACATTCACTTCCACCTTTTGATATTACTTCCAAGTATATTTTATTAGGACCCATCAGGGGACCTTTCTGACCTTTTTTAACTTTGTGAAACTTGTACGCTCCGATTTGGTTTTGGACTCACTGACTGGGACCGTATGCAGTCGAACAACATCGTTCACTCAACGGCTTACCAATTCAAGGAGGAATTAGGCATTAATTTGTGGTGTGCATCAGAACAGAAAAATAAGCATCACACAGCAATAAGTTGAGTTATTATTGTAATACATTACTCACAAGGCTACTGAAAATTTCTCAACAGCCCACGACCAGTCCCCGGGTTTCCGTCAACCCTATGTTCTACCGGAACCCAAGTTGCACAACATTAGCGAAACACTCATTTGCAAACAAATTTGGTTTTGCGAGCGAGCCACCTGGAAACCGGGTAAATCTCTCGTAAAAGAGAGATTATTAATCCTAGAAGTCGTTTTGCAGCATCGACGCAATCGGGTACTTTTTGACCCCATATGGTACAGTTTATTGAATGACAGTCCGTTAGAGTCAGGGTGTTGCCGCTTGCAAATCAGATTGCATCTTGAGTGATTTGGAAGGGTTCAATTTGGTAAGTATTTTCCTGCCTGACTCAAACATATGCAGCTGTATTGTGTCCTGTAGTGGCATTCGTTTTACGGCCTGGGAAAACGAGAGGTTTATTGGAAACTCGTTTGAATATCCCGTTTGAGAGATCCATCGTTGTTAAATTTTTCATTACAAATGACTGTTTTTTGAATGGTGCGAGGCAGACCTTGTGCCATGTGAACCAAACCACATGATTTCTTTTGGTTCCAAATGGTCCAATTGGATGCTTCTCGATCTCTATTACGACGTTCCGAAAATTGGGGTACTGATTTTATCACTCTTGTGTTGTTTAGAGGCAATTGTCCCTTAATGCGACTCGAGTGTAGCCTAGCTGTTAAGCTCAAATGTTTTAAATTGATTGCAGCTATATTATTCATTTCCTCCCCAACTGCTTTTCAACCTGCGTTCAAATAACTAAAAGGTGTTAGTTTGATAATAAAACGTCAGAAAAGTTGAAATATGGGACTGCCACACCCTATCCCTCTGAATACTCTCAGCGAACACGCCATAAAGTTATCATACAATGGAGTTGGGTGCAATGGGAATTGTAGCATTTCCGTCTACTTTTCGTAGCTTCTGTCAGAAGTGCGTCTCTGAGGCTGCCTGCAGAAGCAGATGCCGCCCACTGATGACTCATTTACTCGTTCGTAGGTGATGTGGTTGGCGTAAATTGTATGATGACCAGTGGGCATGCAATTCATGAGAGTATTGAATTTGTTGTTCCATCGCTATGGTGTTGCGAGTGATCAGAAAACAAAAGACCCATTGTGGACATAAGGCAGACGTCAAGGATGAACGTATGGCTAACTATTCGTTATTGATTGACTGCTTCAGAGCTTCCTAAAGATATCAATGGCTGAATCCAATAATTTCTTTCGATAATATGCCTTCAGCTAGTAGTACATGGTACAAGTACGGGACAAGTGAATGACTGAGAATTTTCATGCCTAACTTCTAGAGAGGGCTGTATTTCGAATTATGCAGAGATTTTTCGCTATTTGAAAACCTCCGTTTTAAAGGAGCCAGGGGTTATTTTAAAGGAAATCTCGATTATAACAGCCTAGTTATGGTTGCCTACAGTACGTTATTTGTGAAACAACGTTTCTTTTATACTTTTAGATTGCTTGTATCATAGCAACAGTAAGAACAGACAAAAAGAAGACATTGAGATCTACATGGAAATGGTACATTGTACTAGTGGTTGTTTTGTTTTTGCAGTCTGTCCGGGGAGGGTTGGCTGAGTTGTTGGATTGTGGCTGCTTCTGTCTCATGAAAAACCAGATTTCTGATACATGTTTATCAATTTCTTGATTCTGCTAAAGAATTTTGCTACATACGGCCAGTCTGGTGACCCGTCTCGGTCACATTGTTTATGAACTTGTCGTTCTTGGACTTCAGGTTGATATACAAGAAAGTCGTGTAATGGTCATCATCCGTTGAGACTTATTCAGTTTGAGAAACATAAACGAGAAATTTCCGTATAATTCCGAATGATCAAAAGTCGTGAAAAGCTATTTTAAACGTATGGCTGCTATGGTTTGCAGCTTGGCTTTAACATAATGAGTTTTCCAGGTAGAACCAAACAAAAAAATAACCGGAGATGGGCACGGAAAAAAGACAACGAACATTACTGAGTTGGTACAGTACAGATTCTGTTAGGTGGTTTCTACAACATTTGGAGTTAGTTGCCACCAGCTGATTGTCGCGCTGTCAATCGCCGTAAAAAGGATATTTGATTTGTCTGTTTTTGGTTTCATGTGATTCCTAAAAGATCAAGGCGGCATGGTATGTTAAAAACTAGAACCTCGAGTGCTTTAAGTCTTTGATGGTTCGTCCTCGGCTCCATCAGTAGTACAAGTGACGACAAACTCGATTGTACTTTTGGTTTTAAATGGACATTATGAATAATTCCAAATTAAAAATGCTTACATGATGAGGGTGATTGGAATCATGTAGAAGCCAAGAAAAAAAGGTTTACCATTTGAAAAATGGATAACCTGGAGCAATGGAACTTCTACCTGAGAAATAGTGATTTTTTTTTAATAAAAAATCCAGAGTGTATGAATTAGGCGGTAGCTTTCGCTAGAAAGGGTGCATATTGTGATATCAGTGAGAACGAATTTCAAAATAATTGTAAAAGCGTTGTGCAGCTTTTGTCTCATGGAAGGCTAACTCAAATCATTCTGCAAAGGGAACAGGCATGAACTCCCCCCGGGCGTTTGGGTTCTTATAGTCCAGAGTAAACACGCCAAGTTTCCTCCAGAGTTCATGGTCCCATAACTTATGCCCATTACAAAACTGGAAGCCTAGATTGTTGTTTTAAATGCAGAGGAAACATTACTGTTTCTGAGCGTCTTTATCTTGTGGAACTGGTTGTAGAGGATATTCCAGTTAGATCTTTGGTTGATGTGAACACCAGCAAGCACTGCTTTCTGAGAAAAATCGACGCTCCCAAAAACAGGAAAGATAAAAATTACTCATTCTATCAATCAAATGTCATGTTCACTGACTCATACTTTTAGAGTTGTGAAACACATCGTACCTAATGTATTTTTTAGCTCTCGTCCCAGTAATGTTCCCACAGCGTCAAATTAGCTGCTTTCAAATTTGTGTGCGGTGTTTTGGTAGCTTCTTCCTCGTAGGAATGAGTGTGTTAGGCAGAACCATTGTACGGCGATATGTTCGTCATTACCAAATAAAATAGTGATACCACAATGTGAAACAGCTGAATTTTTGGATTGCTTTCAATCCCGGTTTCAAATGCTTTGCGCTTGAATTTCTATTTTGGTTTGACTTACTCTATCTGCCTTGTTTTACTGAATCAATTTATGGAACTTTGAATTCAATGGCTTGTTTATACAAGTTGAATACTGAGTTGCAGATCAAATCCATTGATAACGCATCACACTGGGAGGTTCAGCAAACACTGTCTATATACATTTTCTTTGATTTAGCGAACTTGGCGATGCCGCACAGGAGTGCATCACAGTTCGGTCAAACCAACTGCTACTAACTGACATCAAGGATGCCCAATACAACCACGTCGCTGACAACCGGAGACGCAGACGCATATTCACATTTGACCACATATTTGCGGCTCACACAGACAGTGAAGATGAGGAGGGGCAGAAACAGGTTTGTCTGAGCTACACAGTTACCCACCAACCCTGTAGATTTACGAATGCGTGGGTCAGGAAGCACTGTCTTCCATTCTGGAGGGATACAACAGCAGTTTGTTTGCCTATGGAGTTACTGGGACGGGAAAAACCTACACAATATTTGGGACAAAAGTGAGTGATTTGTTGAACGCTGGCCAAAAATTCATCGGTACTCTCTTACGCATAAAGTGACAACCGTGTAATGAAACCGCTTCCTATAAGGTGTTTTTAATTTATTTTATCTGGTGAAATCCATTGATTTTTCACAACAGATGACTGGTTCCTGACTTGTCATTGAAAACTAAGACAAGTGGTTGAATTTTTGGAATGGTGAACATAGGATAGAGTGAGATTCCCAAGCAAATAGCTCAAAATATTTTTAGGTTTGTCCTTAGACTTCAAAACGCTGTTTTTGTTGTCACTCCAATGACAATATCTGCTGGCATGTAGCTCAAAGAGTGAGTCCGGAAAGATTCGAGTTGCAACATACCGAGAAAAACTACTGTCATTAGTGCTGAATATTATGATATCTGCATTCCCATGCCATCAGAGTGAACAAAAGTTAAGCGCCCCAAAAATCCTTCTCTTGCGAGTTTGAAAGATATTCAGTTTGACATTGAAAGCATGCAAATAGATGCAAAGTGTTGTAATGAGCAGTCCATCAACAACCAAAATGGACGCACATTTGTCTATAAAAGGACACTTTTGTGATGTGATTCAAAATGCAGTACTTTAAGTGACCCTATGTCTAATAGTATGAGTGTGCTCGTGGGGGTACCATTTCAAGTTACCTTAGATCATCCTGATAATAGTCACGCATACTTGTCGGTGTCTCTTGAGCCAGAACCTTATGAAAGTGTGGCCTTCCTAGAGATACTGATTGCTAGATGCCATAATGGAACCCTAAAAGGTCCAGTTTACCACATAAGTGCGTTACACCTTCAGTTGTCAGCAACCAGGAACCTACTGCTTACAGAGTACAAAACAGCCAACAAACGAGGTGATACACATGACACAAATTTGACGTTTCTGTGTCCACTGTCTGAGGATGGATATATAGCATGCGATTGTAGTAAAAAAACAGAACCGGTTTTAAGCCAGCCCAAAGTACTACAACTACATTTTAGATCAACCGCCAGAGAGGCGGCACTTCGTCTCCAAAGCTAGCCATCAATTCTCCTACACTTGTGATAACACCTACAATATCCGACAAATCTTGCACACAATTCATTCAAATATTTGTTCTTATATCAATATTTGCTGTATAGTCGGACGACGTGTGAACTACTTTCTGGTTGCGCACCTTTGCCGTGGCTTGGATATGAGGAAATGTTATAGTATGCGTCATATTTGCTTAGTTTAATCACTCCAAACCAAGTTAGTGTGTGCAGGCACTACTTGTTATAAATTAAGCATTGTGCTATTTCTGCAAAACAGAATCCGCAGGGGGACATCGAGACCTCGCACAACTGAGTGAGTGTTAGCTTTCCAAGGTCGGACGCGATACTAAAGCACGTGAACAATCGCTCCTATCATGACAGCCGTTACTCAAGTTTGTCGAATCCGACTGTCCCACAAGATCGCATTACACCGTCAACTTTAGCTAAACAGAGGCAACAGGTGCATTTAGTGGGCGTGGTGAAGTGACTTAAAAAAGCTTACCAAAGACATTCTTGTGTGCCGGAAGAAGCATAATTTAAATATACACGTCTGACCTTCTGAGGTTGCTGCAGGTGTCCAGTGGAGAGGCTAAAAGAGAAATTGAACAGGTATCGTCTGAAAACCTTCGAATACACACTGGAGTGCGGTATTATATGCGCACTATCTTGGCAAAAATCGGCAGGATGGATCGATACCTCCTAAAGGGAAGGGTCGAGCATCTATCTTGAAGCAGCCAAATTATGAACATCACATCAAAGACGTGAAAATAAAAAGGAGCTATTAATTGACTGGGGTGACCAAGTGTACACTGAAAACAATATGAACGGATAGGTGCGATGACTAGTAAAAACACGGTTAGAGAAAATATAAATTAAATAAGAGGTTCTGGGCAGCTGATTTACTGTAATATCGATTACATGCATTTTGCGAGCAAATAAAAGGAGATGGAAATGATGTAGTGCAAGACATAGGGTTTGTGTCTACGCATGGAATCTCTGTTATCAGTGAGACAGATAAGTATTTGAGTTATGGCCACTAATTTTATACGGTGAGACTGTGAATCGGTCCAGGATACGCTCTTTGCTCACGGTTTGCCAGCGCTTTCTTTCACCCGTAGATATAATCAGGTTGGTCGATTGGTCTGGATCTATCGACCAAAGGCATGGACACCTGAATTAGGTGACACTGCATGTTCTTTGAACGGCTTCAAGTGAAGGACTGTAGATGTGCGCGATTTATCGTCCGCATTAAAAGGTTAAGCTTATTTTCTTGGTTGTGCCTCACATCGTTGAGCGTAAGGGCATTTGTCGAGAAATGTGGACGGATAGCCAATTTCAGCCAAAGTTTCTTCAGGTAGCCGCATTTGGTGCTCCAGTGTAACTGAATGAATGGCGTCCTAAATAGCGTGAATTTATGCCCGATTATTTGGAGGCCATTAAGATGTAGGTAATGCCATGTTCACACGAGAATACTCAGGTGGCATTTCTCCGTTTTTCCGCTGGGAATCTTATTTAACGAAATGGCTCCGTAATTCTGTGTAAATGACTGAACAAAATGATGTAACCGATAGAATTCATGCGTCAGATAAGAGTGTGTTTATACTGCCATGTTGTCAGCGTGGAGTCTAGATGGGGCCAGATTGTTGATTCTTCCCCTTAGTTTCTACAATTACTGGTCTACACATGCATCACTAGAGACGGGTCCTGGTGGGCTTCCCATGCCCCATAAGTATTTAATGGATGTTTATTGAAGAAAGTAGAAAACATCAAGTGAGCCATTCGGTACAACTACCGGAGATAAACTATTTTTGGTTCTTCCGGCTTTGGTGAAAGGACCACTTTTTCATCCTTTGTAAACGTGACATGAAACTGTTCCTCTGTGTGTCACTGTTACATTGTCATACTTACCAACGACTTCTTTGGAAACCGCGCTTTCTGGTCTCATCAGAGCCGTTCTACTTGGAATAATTAGACCAACCCTAAGCGCACGAAACTGAATGATCAGAGGGTCCTGCCAATTTTACAGTTGACGCCAGTCACTGCTCTTTCATGACCAAGCTTTCTTCATTCATTTTCGCTACTCTTACTGCTGATGTGTGCCATCTTGTTTTGGCAGGATTGTCGCTTTCAACAGGCCTCCGCACCTACCGATATCATTCCCTCGGGTTTGTATCGAAGTAAAGGTTTTGTGTACAGCGCCACATTCGTTTCCACGAAAATCGTCTGACGCCTCTGAAGATTAGCAAGCGTTTCATGGTTTGACAACTGTTAGCCAGTGAACCTGATTTTAATGCCAGCACTGTACTAGTGATTTCCATAGATTTGACATCCGAGACCGCTATAAGAAGAGAAAATATCAACCTATAAGAACGTATATCATTCTTCCGTCCTGGCTACATGAAAGTGACCAATAAAAAACCACCTCTGGGATAAAATTTACAAATAATTTTTTCTTATTCAGAGCTTATTATTTGTCGGTTTGTGTGACGGTGAATCAAAATTTTCGCCTTGTTTAGATGAAGTGTTCCAGAGGTGCTAATACTAGGAACAGATTGAACTCAGTGGTTGGTAGAACGGATCCTCCATTCAACTTTTTCATCATAATGGCTGTCTTGTTATTTGTGTGGATCGGCTTAATGACCGACAGAATGTCTAATTAGTGAGATGTAAAATAGACCTGGGTGTGGATGACGCTCACGCGATCCCCAAATATCGTTGAGTCTCTTGGACGCACACAAGTACAGCTGACTCTTTACTTTATGTCTACTCTGCACGACATGAGAAATATCCTCCGGGGTTTTCTCAAATATTCTAATGACCGGCTCCGCGGTTTTTCGGAAAAACGGATTGGCCATAGTAGCATAAAATGATTGGCGTAAGTAGTTACCTGGGGACGGTGTAATTGAGGAAACAAAGACATACTGTTGTCTCCCCTGAATAATAAGCAAAACGTTTGTTCCGACGTCCGCTGACAGCTGCCGTCTGACGAGAACTTCACTGCGAACATTTATCCAACTAATGGAGTAGCAAACAAATAAACATTGAAAATGCTGTATACCAGTTCGCAGACAAAAAAGCCTAACGTTTGGCCATCTATTGTTCTCTCAGTATCAACAAAAACCAACTCTCACAATAGACACCATTTATTTTTTCACTGGAAAATTCCTCAATAAGCACCTAACGGTCTGGTTTATCCGTAATACAAATATTAGGCAAGTGTAAACGAAAACATTTATTTCGGCGACTTATCAATCGGTTTCTGTGGAAAACGGCAAGAAGCGGGTTGGTTGAGTAGTACCCCTTTACCAGAAAATCGTGAGCTTATTCTCGGATCTGATTCTGCTGTCTTCGGTGTTCGCTTATAGACCAAATGATGAAAAAGACGATGTTTTGCAGCGAATGATCACCCTAAACCAAAACACAGTCACGGGCCTCTTTGAAGCTCCTCACTGTTCTGTTTAGTAATGTACAATAATGGTTGTTTGTCTGTATTACATCAAAACGAACTTCACAAATTTACAAAGTTTACTGTTAGTGTAATGGCGATATGCGAGTAGTATGTTTTCTAGTAAATCCACTTTGCGTCTCTTGAAAAGTGAGACCTGTTGCGGAATTTGTGGAGTCACTTTGTAGCATCTGCTTTGAGTCGAGTAACAGTCAATGAATATCCAAGAAAGTTCGGATAAACGTGTTCAAAGTAAAGACGGATATTCCGTTTTTGTAAACAAGATGCATAGGAGAGTTTTGCTTCCCTGACCAATAGTCTGTAACTGTTCAGTTAGCATTTTCTAACGAATGACTCCGCAGCAAAGGCCTTCTTCCTTTCAGTAGTAATAACAGTAACAGATTACGTAGTAGTAACTGTACAATCTCCCGGTTGGCTACTGACGTAAAAACCTTCTCTATGAACTGGAAGGGAGTATTTCGATGGTTTGTCTAAGTGAAGGGTGCTGACAAGGCAAAAGAAAGTT